AGAAATGACGAAAACAAATCGGAAAGGCTTGCTGCTGATCTCAGCCTGATTTCTAAGCCCTCGGGAAGATCCCAACGTGACACCAATCGATTCAACAGCCTGCGAGCAGTTTCTATTTGGGCAAGCGACACACCGAGAACGCGTTCTCGCGAGACTCGCTTCACTCGCCCAAATAGGGCTTGCTCGCAGGCTACCGTTGTCGTTAATACGTTTGCAGTCCGTTTTAGACGGATCAGTCTGAAAGCTACAAACGAAAAACGCCCCAGATCGAAAAAAGGTCACGAGAGTATAAATTGTATAATCTTAAAGGTATAGGTGAGTCAAGGATAGCCTACGAGTGCAAAATTTTCTTCGCTGCAATACAGGGCAATAACATCCGGAACCGCGAGGACTTTTACCGTTTATGCTGTTTGTTACAACAGTGAGACTCAAATCCGCCACAAAGGCGCCTCTCAATTGCGGTCGGTTTTTACCATCGAAGGCTCCCCGAAGACGCCGCAATACAAGGTAAAGTCAAATGGTTTGCCCTCGCAAAAGAAAAAAAACATAAGTAAGTATAAAAATATATGCCTTGTCTTTATGGCCGGTAGCCGATCAACAAGTTTCAAACACTAAATGACCAGCAGTCCGATATTTTTTTAAAAATAACAATTCAAAGAATCCTAGCTGATCCAAATTGTATCATATCGATTAATAAAATTCAATCGATCCTTAAAATGCTATACAGATCTGAAGTTCAGCGCTTGATCCACGCTGGGTTCAGAAAACGAAACCGTGTTCTGTTACATTTAGTTTTTCACGAATGCCGACCAGAAACACTAATTATGACGTATGCAGTAATCCCTACCTCTCGTCTGCGGGAGGCTACTATGACCAGCAGTCCGATATCTTGACCAATTTGAATATTCAAAGAATCAGTAACTCTGGAATGTTTATGTGTATTCCTTTGGAAAATCGTCCAACCTAAGTCGTTTGGTACCTAAGATTTAATACAGGTATTCGAGAATCGAGAACTTGTTGTCTCCCTCAACTGTAAAGAGTCGGCGCAAAATTTTGGGCACGTCAAACAAGTCACACAACCAATGGTCACTAAAGTGTTACACCGGAAGTTGAAGAATATCATTCTCTACCTTTAATGAGGGCACCCAACGACGGTTTTCTGTAAAAATATCTGTTCGATCAGAAGCAGATATTGCCTAGAATTTTCTATAGCTTGAGGACGACTAAAAATTCTAAATCAACCTAATAAATTTACGATTTTCAAGTTTAATTTTCACATTTCACTGCCCAGGTTAGGCTACTTTTTCTTGCGAAAAAGAAACCCAAAATTTGGAGATCTGAAAATGTGATGGAGAGAGGAATCAGAATGATACTTGAAAGAAAAACAAGCTTGAAAAAGACAAAAGAGGTGCATACGCAAGCATGACCTGAACAGAAAAAAAAAATCTTTGAATTAAAAGATTTAACTATTTCAGAACAGGGGGCTTGAGGTCCCTCCCTTGTTAAAAGTTAAATAACTTCAAAACCGTTCAGTTATGACCTTCCAAATTTAGCGACTTTTCATGAAATTTAACTGGGGACATTTTAAAATGGTCGTGACGTCTACGTCAACAACTGAATTTTGACAACCATGTTTAATTTTTTTTCAATTGCATTTTTTCGGTTTTATTTCTATTTTACTTATTGAATTCTATATACACCAAATTTAGCATTATTATATCAAATTTATTATAACTGCTACTGTTTTCCAGGGTATTTGGTGACTAATTTGGGAAAAGTATGAATTAAATGACCCGCAAATGACAGTAAGTTCAATTTTCTTCCGAAGTTCATACCTTATAGTTTTTTGCTTCCTAAGCATCCTTTTCTACACAGATAAAAATTCCTTATCACGATTACCTCGATTTGTATGAGTTTTTAAGCAAAATAAAATACATTTATTAAATTAATTCAGAATTGCTAATCCAAAATAGCAGATGGGTCTAGTTCTTTCAATGACGTCATCGTGTCATCATCACTGCTATTATTAAATTTTAATATTGTGTCTAGTAGCCAACTCTTTGATTTTATCAGACACCTTACTATTGGCTACTTTGAAGGGAATTTGATTCTGTCAGTAAATTCAACAATATGGCGTGAATGACGTCAAATTATGTCATTGTGTTAATCAAGCTACGTTTAAATGTTGGAGATGATAAGTACATTATTTGTGTAATATTAGTGGGTATCATGAACGGTTTTGAATTTATAGAGGGTAGGGTCTGAAAAGGGTTAAAGAGGAACCTTTTGGGTTATTTATATAATCAACGTGTTTTGTGCTGGGGAATTTTTCAAAAATACCTCAAATCGATGAGCAGTGCACCTCTGCTTTGCGATAGATCATCCGCTACTGGTCAGCGGATGCTCCACTTTAATAGCTGTCAACCGACTTGGAAACGTCGGTTTTCACTTTAATAACAAGCAAGGCAGCGAGGCTGATACTGCGATCCTAAAACAAATTAGTTTTCAAGGCATCAACATGACACAAAAACTCAAGAACGAGGCATTCAGCTCCAAGACAGACTGCTCATTTGAACTCATCAGGTGCAGATGGCTGATAGAATTATATAAACTGACTCCAGAATCTCTGTTGAAGGCTATCCCAGCTTGGAAAAAACAAATGAACATTCCATATCACGTGTCTTCCACAATTCATCAACAGTGTCATGTTGATGTCTCGGAATAAATGACATGCCATAACATGAAGCAGTCAGTCTGTTTGTCTCACGGTCACGTTACAGCCAAAATTTCTTGGATGGATACACTATCAGATTTTCGTAATTGGCGTAGCCTACTTTTATACTTAATTGCGTTGCCACTGTATATTCCCAACAGTGCCAGAAGCATTTCTGTTGTATTCAAATCCAAAGATATCAGGAGAATCTCTTGACACCAATAATGATGCAGTGATTCCATTGGTTGGTGTCAAAGAGGTAAATGCTCTAGACTTCAATGTACAGGAGATGCAAATCTACTGGACAGATACATCCCTCAAGTCTATAAACAGAGCTTTTCTCAATGGAAGCCAAATTGAGCACTTGGTTGTTGTGGACTTGCCTCACCCTGATGGTTTGGCTGTGGACTGGATAGCCAAAAACCTGTACTGGACAGACTCTAAACACCAGAGAATAGAGGTGGCAAGACTTAATGGACAGCACAGGAAGATGTTGATTTGGAGGGACTTGTGGAAGCCGCGTGAACTTGCTGTCAATCCAGTATCGGGGTAGGCGTGCAAAGGACAAATAAAATTTCTCGATGAATCCTTTACGGAGTTTCTTGCTGAATTTTTTCAAGACACAAATTTGAAACCACACAGAGCGTAGATTTAAAGTTAAATTTCCCAGGCTGTTGTGATAATGAAGGTCAATTCTCAGTCTGCAAGTTTCATGCTTTGCTGACCTTGATGTTAACTTTCACCAAAAGAAACTAAGAGCCCAAGTTCAATTGAAAGTCGAGGGTGCATTGAAGAAGGCCCTACGCAACTACTGACTTCATGTCGCAGAAATTCTTCGCTTAATATTTACAAAAAATCATAAGTCTATTTGAATAAAGAATCTAGCATTTTATTCAGTGCCAGCCACCCTTTCAATTTATGATATGAAAATTGGTACGTTTTTAGCAATACTGAAAACATTCCAACGTTTTCTACTAGAGTATTTCTCAAATACCTGCTTTGTTTGTGTAATGGCAAATTTGGTTAAGGTCTTTCTTATTTGTACTACAGACATATGTACTGGGCAAATGGAGGAAGGGAGCCTACAATAGAAAGAGCTGACTTGGATGGCTCTAACAGACACACCGTGATTGCCAATGTAACACGTCCAACTGGTCTGACAATTGACTATTCATTGGGGCTCATTTTCTGGGTTGATATTGAGAACCAGGTTATTGAGTGTGCAAACGTAGATGGAACAAACCGTCGAGTAGTTGTGTCAGGTCTTCCCATGCCTTTTGCCTTAACACAGTACAAGGATTATATTTACTGGACTGACCATGCGCTTAACTCGATCTATCGTGCCAACAAGACAAATGGATTGGACCTGACAAAAATCAAATCCCACACTGATAGCATTACGGATATTCTAGTGTTTCACAGCAGTAGGCAAGAAGGTTTGTGTATAATCATTATTTTGATACTGTTATCCCTAGAAGGCCAAATATAATTGTACATTTATTTCCTGTGGTACTGTATTTGTAGGACAACCATGACCATTATTTTAATCTCATGTATGTATGTCGATAGCCTGAAAGGAACAAATGTATGTAGGTTTAAAGATCGGGTTTGAAGATTAATACATTTTCATGAAGGCAACTTAGATCAGCAAGGGTGGTCCTCAACCTACTCTAAACTAACAGTAATCACTGATTAATAAAGTGTATCAGATTCCAGATCATGCGTGATAATGCATGGTTTGGCAATTGGGAAAGTGTGTGATGGAAGTTGGAAGCAGCTCTGTATTGAAATGAATTTGCAACCTTAAATACAGATAGTAAACAGCATGTGTACTTAGATGCATTAAAAAAATGATGATACTTCAAAATTAAAAGACTACGGAGTATGCAGGATTGAAGTAATGGAATTTCCTCAAAAGCTCCTGTACTAGAACTGGATCTCAGTACTGCACTGTTACATGTAAATGGACAGAAATTTTATGATGTGTTCAAAGGAGAATCACGAAGATAATGCACGTTTAATTTTGTTTTAATTCAGGAATCATCATTTGTAAACTTTTTGCTATTTTCTTTGATGGTGCCTCCAAAGGACTTAAAAGGCGTTTTATGCCCAAATTGCACCTTAGACAACCTCTGTAATCAAGAGTTTAAAGAAGTTGTTTCCAGTTTATTTTGAACTTGTCTGGTGAGCTTTTGCCCAACACGTTTGCTTGTTTATTTAGGATGGAATTCTGTGCAGGCATAATGGCGGATGCAGCCACCTTTGCCTGGCTAAACAAGGCAAACGAATGGTGTGTTCCTGCCCAACTCACTACACCCTGTCGTCAACAGACAATAAGACTTGCAATGGTTAGTATTCTCCAACGTGAAAACGGTTTGTCACTGACAATTAAAGAGAATCCCTATTTCTAAAGCTCTGAGTTCCCCAAATCTCCAAACCGATATTGTTTTCATTCCCAACTCACGTTCCGTTATAAATAGTACAAGACAAACATTTTTGCTCGAGTCATAGAAAGTTTACATTACGCAATAAATGGGGTAATGGGTTCATGATAACCGTCACGAATATAGAGACATTAAGTGACCACTAAGCCCACTGTGAGAATGTTGATGTAATTGCTGTAGTTACTATAGTTGCCATAGTACCTGTAGTAGCAGTAGTTGGTGTAGTTGCTGTAGTTGGTGTAGTTGCTGTAGTTGCTGTAGTAGCCGTAGTTGGTGTAGCTGTTGTAGTTGCTGTAGTTGCTGTAGTTGCTGTAGTTGGTGTAGTTGGTGTAGTTAGTGTAGCTGCAGCCGCTGTAGCTGCAGTAGCTGTAGTAGCTGTAGTAGAAGTTGCGAAGTTGTAGTAGCTGTAGCTGGTGTAATGTAGTTGGTGCAGTTGGTGTAGTAGCCGTTGGTGTAGTTGGTGTAGTTGGTGTAGTAAAATGTAGTTAATGCAGTTGCTGTAAAGTGGTGTAGTAGCTGCAGTTGGTGTAGCTGGTGTGCTGGTGCAGTAGCCGGTGTAGTTGGTTCAGGCAGCTCTAGTGCTGTAGCTGGTGTAGTAGCTGCAGTTGCCGTAGTTGCAGTAGCTGCAGTTGATGTAGTAGCTGGCAGTTGCTGTAGCCGTAGCTGCTGTGTGGTGTAGTGCTGTAGTTGGTGTAGTTGCTGCAGTTGGTGTAGTTGGTCTTGGTGTAGCAGCTTGGTGTAGTTGGTGTAGTAGCTGTAGTTGGTGTAGTGTAGTAGCCGTTGGTGTGGTAGTAGCTCTGTAGTTGGTGTAGCCGTTGCTGTAGTTGGTGTAGTTAGTGTAGTTGCTGTAGTTGGTGTAGTAGCTGTAGTTGGTGTAGTTGATGTAGTGTGTGGTTTAGTTATGGTTAACTGTAGTTGCTGTAGTTGCTGTAGTTGGTGTAGTGGTTAGTGTAGTTGCAGTAGTGGTGCAGCTGGCAGTAGTAGTGGTGTAGTGCAGCTGTAGTTGTGTAGCTGGTGTAGCAGTGGTGTAGTGCAGCAGCGTGCAGCTGTAGTTGCAGTGTAGTTGGCTGCAGTGGTGCAGTAAGTGCAGTAGTGCAGCTTGGTAGTGTAGCAGCTGTAGTAGTGGTGCAGTGCAGTGCAGCTGTAGTTGCAGGTGTAGTAGCGGTGTAGTCAGCTGTAGCTGTAGTAGCTGCTGCAGCGTAGTAGTTGTAGCACAACTACACCAACCACAGCTACTACAACTAACCACAGCAACTACAGCAACTACAGCAACCAACACCAACCACAACTAACCACAACTAACTACAATCAACCACAGCAACCACACCAACTAACCACAGCTACTACACTAACTACAGCACACCAACCAACTACAGCTACTACAACTAACCACAGCAAACTACAGCTACTACAACGAACCACAGCAACTACAACTAACCACACCAACTACAGCAACTACAGCAACTACACCAACCACAGCCACTACACCAACTACATCAACTACAACTAACTACAGCAACTACAGCAACTACACCAACTACATCAACTACAGCAACTACACCAACTACAGCAAACTACAGCAACTACACCAACCAACTAACTACAGCAACTACAGCAACTACAACTACACACCAACTACAG